GTTTCCTTCCACCAACTGACAAGAGAGAACAGAACCTCGCACCGTGACTACTTCCGGTTATCAGACAAAATTCGTGGCACCTTTGTTGAAACTTTCCTCATTCCCAAATCTTCAGTCAAAACCTTCCTCACAGTTTCTCTTCCTAATTTAGTTGCTCTGCTACAATTTGTACACTTAATCATCTGTCATAACAAACCAATTTCCTCACTTTTCCTACATTTTCATCTGTCCAGAGTTTTTGGACACCCAGTTCTTGCATTGTCTTTGGAATCTTCCCGACCCTCTTATGATTTTATGCCACTTAAACTAAACTTTTTCATGGCATCAGCACTGCAATCTGTTAACATCTGCTGAGATTCACTTGCACTTTTGCCTAACTTTGCATAAAATATAATACACTGCTCCAAAAAACTATCACTCCTTTATCTGCCAAGACAAAAGACACACTTGCGTAATTGCCACTGCTTCACTACTACCTTATTAGTTTAACCAACACACAACCACAGACATGATGCTGCTTGGTTATTCCTCTTGCTACCTGATGTGACATGCAGGCATTCCAGGAACTTCATCACATTTCAAACAATATTTTCAATTCACCAAAAAATACATATTAATGAATAGCTTCAACAAACTTCTGATGTGTAACTACAAGGGGCAGAATATTTCTTAAGATGTTGACAATCAATGACCTATTTAAAAAAATTCTCACAGTTTACTTAAACCAAGGGTTCATTAGAGCCTGCAACCAGTCCCTATCTTGAACATATGTGATTTATGGTGAAACAGAGAAGAAGAGAAAATTAAATAGTCCACATGATGGATATAAAAAACAGTTGCCTGAAATACCTTTGTCATCAATTTGTATCAATATTATAAGGTTATAACTTTACAATTATTTTATGTAACCAGTACTAAATATTTTTCACCTATAATCTGAATTCTGCAGTTCTAAGATACAAGGTCTCTAATACCAAATACATGTACTGAAATTTCTTACGTTCGCATTTTTGAGTCATTTCAAAATGATGCATACCTGCTATTTCATATGTGTTATTTTAGTGTGTTTAACAGTATCACAGTTCTACCTTACCACAAGCTAAACAATATTACCCAATCTATTGACTTTAACAATGCCACTCACATGAACCACAGAAAGTATAAACATTTTGGGAAGAAGTGTGTTACTCCAGACCGATCTTACAAGGACTATTGTACTGTAACTGGCAAACAACTTTGAATAAGCATCTGACTATGGGCCTAACTGCATGATAAATGACTATCCTGAACTGAAACTGAGAAAGATGTTTCCAGCAAGGTGTGGCCCAAGACTTCTATTATGGTCACTGAGGGTTGCCCATAATGGTCTCACACACCAAGAACTTTCCCATGATTATACTTTCAGTGAAAGTTTGAAGGTGAAAAACTCTCAGTTCATCTATACACAAACAATATTTTTTCTGTTTATAATTTACACAAATCACAAATATGGACTGAACCTAACCACTGACAACCAGGGAAGCTAATATGATATTTTTAGAAAAACCAGATGTCACACATTTAACACAACAAAATGTAAGAATTTTATGCACCAAAACTTTTAATATGCAATTAAAAAGTCACTGCTATTATGAACATTAAATTTCAAGGTACCAATAGTAGACAATTTTAGTCAGTCAATGAATACATATGGCAGTTTCATGTTGGTATACTTCATACTTGTCAAATAAGAAAATACGGAACGGTACAATGACATATGGACACTGTCAAAAATTATAAAACATTACAAAGGTAAATAAAGTGGAGCAAAGTTCAAATATTTGGAAACAGTAGAAAAACCAGAATTCCATTCACAAGGAAATTAAGAGCAGACTAAATTCAGGGACTGTTTACTCAGTCTTCCTTATGCTATCTGAAAATGTAGAGTTCAAAATACACGAAACTAAAATTGTTTCAACTGTTCTGCACGTGTGTGACACTTGGTCTTGTGTTAGGGGAAGAACACATTATATTTTGTATGGCCGTTAAGATACTGCACCATACCTTTATGAGTCTGCCTCTTTGTTGTTATTGTGCATGCTGGCTTCATGTTCAGGTAGTTTATTGAAGGAAACACCTTACATGGTTGGGAGCCCAAGAAGAAGTCATTATACTTAGTCACCATGAAAGCTTCAGACCATACATTACATCAATATTTAATAAACCGTCATTAACACATTCCCTTGTAATTAAAGAGATTTAAAGATGGCTGTCTTCTGTGTTATTGCGCCATGTAGTATGGTAGAAGCAATTAGGTAAAATGGTCTTTTACATAATTCTGTCTGCGAAAACTTAATTGGTGTATAATTTAGTTTGACTTGCCTCCTTTGCTGTACAGCAGTTTCACAATTAACATTACACCTGACTAGAAAAATGTCTATAGTTAATGAATGATTATACAGGTAATTTACAGGTTCACAATCCTCTCTAACAAATATTGAAATATGCACACGATACAAAAAATGATTTTGTCTGCTGGCTGCAAATTTATTAAAAACATTTATAAAGGACTACTCTTCAACCCAGAACATTAATACAAACTGTAATGATACCAATTTAAAAGAGTGAAAGTAAATACTGAATGATTGTCACTACAATGGGGCAATTACAGAAGACAAGCAGCAACTGGTCAAATTTTTGCTCCAAACTTCCTCAACGACAAAAACAATAACATCAAGCTTAGAAAGAGAAAACTCAAAGCTTGGAAAACCAACTATAAAGAAATTTGTGGGTATTCTGCTAAAAGCAGGCTACTGATGAACCAATAAACTTGTGGGTGCTCAACATAGTTGTACCGCTGATGACATTAAAAACTTGAAAACATGGCGTGAAATTATCACTAGTATCAATAGAAAAGTTTTTTGTGCGAATCTCATTCTGCAAATTGTCCAATGTCGCAATCCTGTCATTTTCAAGTAACATCGCCGTAATTTAAATAGTTCAATGTAAAATCATACATTCCGACATATTGCATTCCAACTTAAATAAACAGAAATATTCGTCAATACAACAAATTACATACCTACAATATATGTTAATAAAGATGAATTCACGTCGAACTACACATTTATAACAGGGAAAACACCAAATATGGCCAACAAATAACTTTCAGACCTTCTAGTACCGAGCTACTTCCATCTTTGAAATAACGGTAGTATGGATTGCCAAGGCACATACGAGAACAAGCGAGCTTGAACAGTGTGTTTGCGTAGTGCACGATTTCCACTGACTTGGTGCTGCTAAAGGAATTACGATACTCTAGATTTTGGAATGTTCTAAACGCAGATAATCTACCTATCTCAGTACTTAACCACCATATAACACATAACTCGGGAACTGCATGTTAATGTTGGCAACATAATGGAGTATGACGTCATCCACGTATTGCTAGAACCATCTGGTGAGAAACGGTAGTATTAAACCACGGTCTAAACTACTTCCAACAGCCCAGCCGGTAACAACATCAACTACCATATGACTTATATAAAATATATAAATCATGCATACAAACAACACTGTTAATGCTTTAAAAACACTTTGTGCCAGACTATACACCGTTTAACGAATTTTGATTTGAAAGGGTGCGGAAGAAGAGTCGTGGCTTATTTAAAGTTCTAGCAGGGAATTTGCCTTAACGGTACGAGGAAAATAAAGTAAGACTTTTATGAACATGGTAGGTTCGTTATCTAAGGTAAAGAAGCCGCGTGTTTCATACAAGGTACGGAATTTGACTAGCTTAGCGACTATTAGCTTGTGAAAAAGGGGATCTGCGTTAGGAAGTTCGTGCATTTTTAAAGTGAAACTAGTGTTTGGAAGCAGAATAATCCCCCATTTATGCCTACAGAACCTGTTTCAACTGGGAAAGTAAAACCAGTAACGGAAAATGTGGGGAGTGATTCGGTATTTCCTGCTTTAACCTTTGAAGTTTTCCGCCGAGCGGCATCAACTTGCTACAGGTCCAATGCTAATCCCAGCAAGCGGCCACTCTTTAGAAACCTGCTGACCCTATGACAGCAATTCCGCAGTCTGCTACGCATCGATCATATCGGGGTGAACCACGGCTCCATGACAACTCTTTCTGCCGACACTCAGAAACAATGAGTTAACAAAGAAAGGCTTTACGATAAACTTAGTTGTATGGAGAAATGCAGCTTTCCCCCTTTAGCCTTTAAGTTAAAAGAAAAGAACAATCTCGCTTATCATCATCTTTCTGCGGCCCTCAACAAAGAACCAATAGCCAATGCCGACCGCCGGTTTGAAGCATTGTCGATACTCGAATGTGCTCAATCCAGGACGATGTGAAAACTGATCCCAGGGAAATAGCTTGTATGAATGATGGATTGAACTGGCTCAGGATCGTGTCCAGCGGTGGGATTCGATTACACCGGTGGTGTTAACACAAACTTAGTCACGACGTTCTAACTGAAACCTTTTTTTTTGTATCTGGTGTTAGGTGTGTAATACTGCACTGCAGATAACGTGGACTGAATGATACACAAAGATAAGATTACAGGCATGCAATTAGGAGGTCTTGGGCCTTGCAATACGGACTCACGTCACGGAACTTTCCGCCTGGCTTTCCATAAGTGACACTTTGCCTCACTACGGAGCCGAGGGCAGATAATAACGCATCTCTGTGGGTTATGTTTAACGGCGCTTTATCATGTGTAGTGGTTAACATCGTACGGCGAGTGAAAAGTGAATCAAGAATGATGCTTGTTTAATTATTTAACGACAACGAATCTACTTCTGTGGCTAGTTCAGTCTGATTGCTGTGAATATAAATGAAAAACTCGTGAAGGATGAGCAGTTTATGTCGTGTACCTTCACTGAATCCTCTGTAGTGACAGCTTTCGTCAGATGAGACACGCGGCGGTGGTTATGAAGGACAGGGCATTCTCCATGTTTCGCTGTTACCTCAAGAAGGTGTCTGAAGTAGAAGACAAAGAGTGAATCCGAAGCTGGTGCTGCAGAGTTCTCTGGACCATTCACACAACGATCGCAAGAATAATTTGCGGAACTCAAACGAATAGTAAGTGCTACTGTTCTTCTTTCCTTCTTATCACAATCTTTGTCCGTTTCGTTTTCTCCTCCTCACACGGTGTCTGGTTCTCTTCTTCTATGTGCTGACAATTTCACACCTCTCCTACGAATTGTTCTACATCTTTTCATCGATTCCTTTGTACATCACATTCTTACCGATCTCCCATTTCACATTTCCAAGTTCTTGTACGTCCACTTCGTTCTCTGTATCCTGCATTCTGTGCATCAAACATCCAAGGTAGCCTCGAATCAATTTCTTCTCCCGTGATTCACTGTCGACAAATCGAACTGTGACGTCAACAACAGTCCTGATTGGCCGAAGATAAACACGTGAAAGAGAATCATTCACAAAGGAAGCTGGCGCATCCAATAATCGCTAAATTAATTGTAACAATCGATTCCGAGAACCGGGCGGTTTGCTGCAAGAACGTAACAATTTCAAATGAAATTCCCTTAACGAGGTGGCTGTCTTCTGGAAGGTTGCACCATTTGGTCTATCAGACACTGACCGACAACAGCAAGCTCCTCTGAAACGTCGGTCGGTATCTACTAGACGTTGCTACGTCTCAGAAGACAGTCATCTCAATTCACGTTGCAGTGAGAAGCTCAAATCTCGCAAAACACTGATGATATCAGATGTTACCGTTTTAATTAATAACACTGGACATGTTCGTAATGTGAATCCTGTCTAGGTCTATGCGTTTGAGGGAATAATCGCTGTTTATTTCGAAAATAATATGAAACAAGCAAATACATTGGGTAAAACAGAGTTAGAGATTATTCTAACGCAGGTGACACACGTTCCACTGGGATTTAAAGGGCTTAAGTCGATATTGGCGGTCTACAATAAAGCTTTTCGTGCGAGTTTAATGTGGATCACGATAGAGATCGGTGGCTGTCTTTTGTGAACTCGGTAATGAACTCTCAGCTTTCCATACGCGGCGGAAAATTGTCGCTATTGGCTGAGCGACGAGCAGATTCTTAGTAAGGCCTCTGCTCTGTGGAGTCATTTATGTTACCAATTGCCCAAATAAAATTCGAATGGGAATCAGCAGTTTTCTCAGAACTGGTTCATGGCAAAAAACATTTCTACACTTAGAGGAAATAAATAAATAATAATAATAATAAATTCAGGGAAAGAAACCCGGATACAGCATAAGATACGGACAGAATTCTGAAGCACAGTTTGAATTTGAAACATTTATCGCTATAAATATTTAATTGAATAGAATGGTAATAATTTATGTTGAATATTAAGTGTAACTTCCGTTTTATACATAACACTGTAAAAAGAAAAAAAACAGGGCTCTGTGTTGAGTTAAGGCCTGTACGCACTAGGGTACAAATGTCGCGGCATATTGTATCGGCACAAAGTCGCTTGATGTGCCTCGACAAGTCGCAGTGTGTTCCGCAACAAATATCATGTGCCCGGTTATCGGTTGAGAGGCGGCAACACGAAGGAACATCAAAGGACGTCTCGAGTGTTGCAATAGCTTGCGTGCAGTGTGGACGTGTCGAGGGACCAGCAATGAATGTACAGTGGTCGAACGATCGTGTTTTAAAATTGATTGAATTATACCATGGAAATCAATGTCTATGGAACTGGCAACATGCCGATTATAAAAATCGGAATAAAAAAACAGATGCATGGAACAGCATCGCGGAAGAAATGGGAACACCACGAAACATCATCGAAGCGAAAATGCACAGCATTCGCTTACAGTTTATGCGCGAAAGAAAGAAGATTCAAAATTCTATGAAGAGTGGTGCATCAGCTGATGAAGTGTATGTTCCAGCTTGGTCTGCCTACCTGCATTTATTTATTTACTTGTCTCTGGTTTCACTGAATCTCGAAATTCGCAATTGAACTCCCAACCATTTTCAACAGTACCTCGAAATCAGTCGTCATTCTGGTGAAGTTGCAAAATGATCCGTCTGACATCTGTAGGTTTGAGAGTTCACAACGCTTATCCCTTTCTTCTAAAAAGTTTCTTACCCACACTCTCTTTTTGCGCTTCGATTTCTTTTCAGCTAAATGCACAGGTCAACAGCACCACCTCTTCCGACATCTTAACATACAATGTGGACGGATGTATCGGTGTTTCATGTCCCCTGATACAAGTCGCTCAACTTGTATCGCAACATGTGCCCTAGTGCGTACAGGCCTTTACACAGCTGAATGGTTTTGCAATAACAAGTGTGCATATGCGTCAAATATCAGACGGCATTTATAAAGTAAGCTAAGTGCCCTTTACTTTTCATAAGGACGCAACACACAAGTGCGCTGTGTGTCAAAGATGACCGCTAAAGCTGATGATAACAAAGAAAACTGTAAGCCCTTTTAAGGAACCCTCAACAAATCTTAAGGCGGCCAAATCGAAGGTCAGAAGGTGAGTAATCTGCCATTTCGTCCTAAAATAACACATAAACTGACAACACCGCACGAAAACCACAATATTAATGACGCCATATTAGATCTGATGCCGCGTTCGGCGTCGGTCAGTTCTTTTGTTTCGCCCTTGCCTACCTGCCGCCGACCGACTGTACCTCAGTACTTATAGACCTGTGGCTCAGACGAGACGCGTATTCAGTACATCACTTTGTAAGTGTTCAAACATGCCTTCCTCAGGATACACGGCAGTCTACACTTCAACAGTTGGGAGAATGGCAAACTGGTCCCTGAGAACAAGTGAACATCACGCTGCGCGTCGTTCCTGGCGTCGAGTTACAGAGGCCTTCCAAAAACCTGCACAGTCAACTAAAGGTAACTGATGTCTAATTAATTATTTTTTCAGGGTCTCTATATAAAGTTATTATTGAGATGGTAAAGTTGCGTCATATTGTGATATAATAAATATATATATATATTGTTTAAATCTTGTCCGTCTAATCACAATAAATTCTTGTTAAATATTAAAATATTACAATAATTAACATTTAAAATATTTAAAATATTAAATGGTGTTCTTTATCGAAATATTCGATTTACATTAGACCATCACAGTGAAAAATGATGGTCTAATGTAAATCGAATATTTCGATAAGGAACATCATTTAATATTTTAAATGTTAATTATTGTAATATTTTAATATTTAATAAGAATTTATTGTGATTAGACGGACAAGATTTAAACAATATATATAAAGTTATTATTATTTAGTCAGCCGGTCAGTGGTGGTCATATGGGTTGTGATGCCATACAGATCTTCACTGCCATGAAAGCCGCAAATATCAAGGGGTCAAGGAATCTCCGCGGCGTTTACGCAACCCTAAGATTTATCAGTGTTCATAAGAGTCTGTCACCTCATAGAAGCGAGTAAAATTTGGTATCATATAAAATTTCACACAGCTGTAAATGATCCACCAGTTAAATTAAATTTAACTATTCGTTCTCGCTTTGGACAATTTTATAACACATTCTCCCACCTACAAATATTTATCTATTCCAATGAGGTCCAAATTGTGCTCCTGTTACTTCCTCTACTGCACGCCCAAACATTTCCCCCGCACCTTGTATCAAACACCTAAAATACATATCTTTCCCCTAACGTGAACAAAACTGAAGGAAGATGGCCGTCTTCTGGTTCTACGTTGCTGTAACTCATAACACAGCCATAAACCTCAAATCCTAAAACGCAAGGTCTTCGAGAACAGATTCTGGCGTCTTTTTCACGAAGTTACAATATCTGTGCCTTGTGCCGAGTTGTATTAGAAGGAAATTCTTATGCACGTGTACAACAACGCTTTTCCTCTACTTGTCTACAGCCGTCGCCTTGGAACAGGATTTCAAGCGTCTGAGAACGGGAAGTTCCGGAGAAGACGCCGATATCATGCAGAGTAAGAGACGTCTCACAGAGAGAGACATATGTATTGTGGCTAGTCAGCTCGGAGCGTCATGGCGCATCCTTGGTCTACGCCTCAATTTCTCGCCCGAAACCCTGGACGACATCGCGAAGGCAACCGCCATTCGCTTCACGGACAAGAGTTTTGAACAGGTGGGTGCATCTACACAAAGTTCCATAATTATGCGAACTCTGAAAATAAATACGCTACTTTCATGTTTCCATGGTAATTCGTAATGCTTACTTATTAAAATCACCACACAATTAGATTTAAATGTTAATAGCTGAAAAATTAGAAACAAGGAACTGACCAAATTAACCCCTTGTTGAAGTAAGTATGGTACAGTAAAGGTTGTCCTTAGTTCATGTTCAAACACAGCGGTGACGAAAATAAAAAATTAAGCCTCCTTGACAAGGAGACAATTTACTTCTACTGGTATCATTATACACCAAAATATTTTTAGTAGAAGTAGCTGAAGTTTCGGGGCGAGAAATCTCTCGTCAGTAGTATACGATTGGTTAAACACTTTAATATTCAGATCCAATAAAGACTGTAATGGTTCTGTTCAAGATGGCGCAGAACATGCTGAGACTCTGGTCCAAGCTCCCGACAGCGACGGTGGGACGTTTGGTGATTTTGCTGTGGGAGATGGGACATCACGCAATCGCGTTGCAGCTGCAGCCCTGATCGTCTACTTTGCAACATTCATGTTTGTGGCATGTAACATTATGTACATAATTATGTTTATACAGATGTAGAAGCTAATTCTGTGTTCCAAAATAAACACAAATCATAATAACGAAGTTCAAGTATGAGTGCATTTCTGTAATCCACTTATTTTCCTGACGCTGCATGTAGCTCAGACTACAATGCCTAACAACAGAATGGCTGATGACTACCAAACTGGAAATGATATGGATTGAAGTGCCTGTAGTCTAATTGAAATTACCACCAACCATTTGCTTGGAGACAATGAGGAATACCACGGAAACCTCAGTCAGGATAGGCGGTCTCTGAACCGTGACTTAAATTCGGGACTTCCCAGAGTACGAAGCAGAAATGCTAACCACTAGCTAATCGATTCTTTAGTCGACCAAAAAAAATTGAAGTTGAAATTACGAAGTTTCTCGTTATATATTTCTTCTGTCTTCCCGTTACTTCGTGTCTGCATGGTAATTACACCGACCTCAGCACTTATAAACACGCCCAGTCTGTACCCACACTTATTATTAATGTCAGGTTTCAACTTTCACACATTTTTAATCTTCGTTTCCAAAATTCTGAAAGACAGGGTAAAAAGGTGGCTCAACCAATGCACATACAACACAAGAAATAGTTGTAAGTCCTTGTTAACACTGTGCCTTGGCTAAATTTCGTGCGGTTGATAAATATTGTTCCCTTCTGGAAAGTAGGTATTATTAATTAAGACACATTGGTTTTGATAAAAACACTTATTAAGTTACTATTGGGTTTCTGTCCATTGTAATGTGAAAGACTGAAGGTTGCCACTGATTACATAGAATGAGTAAGTCTAAATAATTATGGTTTCAAGATATAAGTCATATTTTGATAAACGTCGTGAAATTATTATAATTGTGTTTAAAAAGTTTTAGAAGACAAATGAAACTAAAATTTACAAATGCAACGAAGTAACTTTGTGTCCAAACTGTTTGGAAACACATCTACTACTGCTAGCACAAACTTGACTTGTTTTAATCGGATTCCACTGGTATTTGATGTCAGCAATTCATAGACTCTAAATACACGGTTATCGCTCGTAAAATATGGGAAATATGTCGCTAGACCAGCATCCAGGCTTTTATCAGGACAGACCGTCGGTGTGTCTGGCATCGGTACAACTCCGATCCATTACATCTCTGAACAGACACAATTTCAGGTCGTCGCTGGACGCATTACATGAATATTCTCTATTACAATTTGACGTTTAAAGGTTGTGTACTATCTGAATTCCAAACAATAGACCCACAAATTAGTTCGTGTCAACTACACGTCGTCACTGCAGTAAATCAAGCTACTTGTGTGTGAGCAAGACACACACCTATAGCGGAGGAAGTACTAAATCTGCATCCTTATTTACGCGACCGGGGCGTGTTATCTGCTATTCCATATCTCATTCCCATTCCCATTATATTTAATTTTGAATATGGATGTTTTCTGGATAATCAGGGCGATGATCGCCCTGATGATGGAGACAGCAAGCACTGTTGAAACCTCAGTTAACTTCTACCATACTACAACCCAGAAGGCAGATATCTTCGAACTCGCTGCCCTGGAAATCTCAAATACTATATTTAATTTTGAATCAAAACACATTTATTGATGAATGTTGTAGAGTGTTCACTTTCGTTTTGTTTGGGTATATTTTTTTAGTTGTTGAAATGGTCATAGAATGTATAATTGCTTAAGATGCTCACATTTTTCGGAGATTATTTAACAATATCGTATCAACAGTCATTGCCAAATGAAAGCAGATGATTGGAAACGTAAAATAATCTGCCTTGGTTCATTTCGAAGTAGGCCTACTATCTCGATCTTCACCCGGAGGGAAATCTTCAGAATAGCCGTTTAGATGACCGCGGTTAGAAAAGAGGCCTCTCCCGAATACAATTAAAAATTGTGACATTTTTTACGAGGGTCGCTCATTAAGTAATGCCCCACATTTTTTTTCTCAGCCAATACTGAAGATAGAAAAGTGTACTTTTACATGCTTGAGATTTGATGTTTCCCGCGTTCGTGTACGGAGTTTCAAATGATTCCAACCGATAGCGGAGCTGTAGTGAACTGTTAAAATGGCGTCTGTGAACGACTCTCGTTACAAGCAACGAGCTGTAATTGAATTCCTTGTTGCTGAAAAAGAAACGGTGGTGAACATTCATAAACGTTTGTGTGCTGTGTATGGAAGCTGTGCAGTCGATAGGAGCACCGTTGGTCGCTGGGCTAAGAGAGTTAAAGCTTCAGGAGGTGAAGAAACCGAGCTCCGTGATCTGCCGCGCTCTGGGCGTCCTGCCACAGCCACCACTCCAGACATGTTGAACCGCGCGGATGCCATTATTCGTGAGGATCGGCGCATCACAACTCGACAATTGGCCCAACAGCTTTCAGTCAGCAATGGAAGTGTGATTGCAATTATCCAGGCTCTCGCATATTCGAAGGTGTGCGCAAGATGGGTTCCACGAAGTCTCACAGCAGACCACAGGATTCAAAGGAAAACGATTTCTTCTGAATTGTTGGAGCGTTTTGATGCTGAGGGAGAGGTCTTTCTGTCCCGGATCATTACAGGTGACGAAACCTGGATACACCACTTTGAGCCAGAGACAAAAAGGCAGTCAATGGAGTGGCATCATCCTCAATCACCGAGAAAGAAGAAATTCAAGTCAACTCCCTCCGCCGGAAAAGTCATGATGACTGTCTTTTGGGACAGTGATGGGGTCATTCTTGTGGATGTGATGCCAAGAGGTGCGACCATCAATTCAGACGCGTACATCAGGACCCTGAAAACCCTCAAGAAGCGTTTTCGACGAGTTCGGCCTCACAAGCATCCAGCAGAAATTTTGCTCCTGCATGACAATGCACGCCCTTACACAAGTCCGAGAACCCGGGAAGAAATCACCAAATTGGGTTGGACGGTGCTGCCCCATCCACCCTCCGACTCCATCTCTTTGGGCCCCTTAAAGATGCTATCCGCGGAACAAGATTTGAAGATGACGAGAGCGTGATTCAAGCAGTGAGGACATGGCTACGTGCACAGGACAAGAGCTGGTACCGGCAAGGCATGCCTGCACTTGTTCCACGCTGGCGTAAAACCGTACAAGTTGATGGGGACTATGTGGAAAAATAGTATGTGTAAAGGAAACATTGATTTATATTGTCACTAAATTTGAGCCATCTTGAATAAATATGTTCTGAGGAAAAAAATGTGGGGCATTACTTAATGAGCGACCCTCGTACGTCACGTGTTCTGCGTTTGTTGGATGACAAACTGGTCCTCAGTTTTGTCTTTTGCGGCACAAGACAAGCCCACTTTTGGGGCACTCTGAAGCAAACCCTGTAGTTGATACTGCGCTTGTTAATTAACAAACAAGGTAATGAAGGGAGTTCATTTCTTACCTCGAAATCAGATAGAGGCGAATGTTCAGATCTGCAAGCCAGACATTAATAATCACTGTGTCATTAGATGTGAGGTTTACATATTCGTAATGTTAAGCAATTAGCGGATTTTCTGATCTTCAACGCAAAATATTCAGCTAAATTTGCAAATGCTTGCTTACGTCTTACGCAGCTGCCATGTGTTCGAACCTTTGTATTATAACAACTAAAACATTTTACTAGCATTTAAGACGTCGAAAATAGTGTTGGCAACCCGTAGTCCTCGTATGGAAATAATTTAACAGCAGCGATGCAAAATTCACCATGACACATATGCACATACACCATTTTGTGGTGGCGTAAAGATTTGTTTACTAAAGTTCTGAACGAGAGTGGGAAAATCTAAAATAAAACGAGATCTGTGTGTTTTTAAAAAAACCGAGACACGTTAAAGGTTGACATTAAAGCCCACAATGAAAACCGATGTGATGTGTATTCCTAGATATCCATGTTATCTGTTTCATAGCTACCCGACGGCACTGAGGTGGAAGGGAGAGATGTGATGACGATTCAATAGCCACTGGAATTCATTTTAAATAAAATGAAAGAGACCTGATAAAATAGAGGTGAAGAGGATAAATAATATGCATATGCGGTTTCATGTTTCCTGGTTAAACGCATTTAGGGGGACTAAACAACAATTCATCGAGTGTTATGATTCGATTGTCGACTCTTCCCTTGTGCAAAGCAACCTATTTTTTTTTCAGGTCCACGCAACGTAGGTTAATTCATTCAAAAGCACCGCCCTTTTGGTCTCAATGCGGTAGATGTTTCAGAAAACCAGAGAGAGAAGCATGAATGACCACCTAACAACAGTTTAAGTCTAATTTTAAGTATATAAACGATACATTGCCATGGAAATATGTATACAGAAAATTATTTGCATTCTGATGAATAAAACCTAAGAGATTTAACAAAAGCTAAAATTTGTATTTTACTGTGACTAAAGTAATATTTTTTCATAAAATTTCTTTCCCGCGACAAACCGACAACGTCATTACGTGATATTTTTTATGTCGCTAATTTCCACTCAGCCAAACGCAATTCTTGGCAGATTGGTCGGCACACACGTCCACATGACAATTAAAATGAATAATCATACATACAACGGAATAACAGCATAACAGAAAAAGATGAGCGGAAAGTGTGTGGAAGGAAGGCGTCGTGGCCTCCCGAATGCAAGGTAGGAGAATTAACCACTCGCCGTGACGTGGAAGATACCGGAAACATCGACAATGGCTTATATCTAAGCTAAGGCAAAATCCGCTAATATACATTATCACTGTGAATTTTTACTCACCCCTGCCTACAATTAGCTTGTCTCTGGCGAGCGGGTCATAAGTCCTCCTTTCCTTTTTTTTTTTTATCAATTCGTGGACATGAACAATTGCAGCAGCTGGAATGTTTGCTTCGTTGCTCTGGAAAATGAGAAGGCCTCTAATTAGAAATCGCTTCGATGATTTGGATTTTATCCGAAAACAGCTTCTCGTGCGGATGTGGCTTTTGGTATGATATAATCCTTAGTGCTTTACACTCCACCGGCCAGAGAGGAGAAATATCCAATCTCTCAGGTTGCGAAAATAACGGAGCGGCGCTGTAGTGACACGAGGTGAATTAACTTCATCGGTAAGACCCACAACTGCTTACTTGCGTTACTGAACAAGCGATGTGAATTATTGCGACTGAAGTACTCGGATTTCCAGGGGAACACAAGAATCACATTTACAGAACCGAGGCAATAATTTCTCTGGTTTATGCGTGCAGAACGTCTATCGGTGAAACAAATCACTTAGTTTTCCGAATTATCTACACATAACAAAAGGCAAAAATAATAAATTACTTATACTCTTTATCAATGAATGTGATCACTGTTAAATCCGATAATACCCTCAATTATTAAAAGTCCTGTAGCGCTTTATAACAAAAAACCAAAATGAAACTACAGTACTTTCATAACATCAATTATTCGAGAATTCCACTGCGATTTCGCGTGAACAGTGGCGCATGTTCACAGGAATTGGAAACAAAATCCTCGATCTGAGGCCAAAACGGATACCAGAATGAAGAACATCCTATTTAAAAAATAAGAGAGTTCACTTGTTCAAATGAAGAAAACAATGTGATTAACCATGAGTTTTGTTTTCCCTACTGACGAAAGTCAAAGTATTCTGGTAATTCTTTATACTGATGGAGATTGGCTGGATCAATAACGAAAAGAGGAGTACAGAAAGGGTATTTGCGCTCTTAATACATCGGCTAAGGTAACTAACGCGGAAACTGCATGAACCAAAATTAGACTGAACGAAATCCCGCAGCGTCTCGTCTGTTGACCAAATCGTCCTGGGATAGAAAGAGAAGAGACAGGCTCTTATGACACCGAGACGAATATTAAGGAAACAAAGAGGGAGGACGTGAATTGGTTTCATCTGACTCTGAGCTGGGTCCTGCGGCGGAATCTTAAGAACCCTCAGGTTCCATAGGAACGTTGGAACTCACTGATCATCCAAGCGACTATTAGTTTTTCAAGAAAGACTCTTGCATGGAGTCAGTTTTGAAACTATACACTTCTGTACGTACCAAACCTTTCAATTATCTGTAAAGAATCCCACAGAAGTTCGTGTGTGTCAGGACAAAGATTTCTACTTCGCACTCTGCCATAAGAAACAAGTGCCGAGCGATCTAATCTCATTTCTCGTTTTTGTACGTTTATCTCGCATTGCGCGGTGTACGTTATTTTATCAACACGCTCATGAGGAGTGACTGGTGTTGTCTGGAGTTTTAGTACTTAATCTCGTTGACTGGAAACACAGAAGCACACTAATGTAATTATCGAAGTAAACAAAGCGATTTATTGAACGGAGTTTACATTTTTTATTAACCCTTTCGACATTAAGCATGAGACATCTCACAAGCTATATCCCCTAATGCCCCGGATGTAAAAGCTATCTTATATTACTGAATGAAATGTTTTCCGCCCTCTGTCCGCAGTTAAAGTCGTTTGCCAAAATGAATTCTACAAGTTACCATGGAAACATAAATAAAATTCAGCATGGAAAGATGTAATTGCGAACTGCAATTAAACCTTGCATGAATACTTAAATTAAAGCTGAAATATGAAAACAAACCACTTCATCACACATTTGTTTCAGTACCTTGTGCGTCTGTTAACACACGTAAATTTCAATGCGTGGTCTGACGCACGTGTTTTAGTGGGGCTTGTTCTCTGTTAGTGCTGGAGAGAATCTTTGCAAAACTGTGGGAAAAAAAAACTTAATTACCAGTTTAATGTTTGTGGCAGGATCTGCGATAATGTCACATTTGGGTTTAATCTGTGGCAAAAAGTTTTAATATACAGTTCATGAGATAACAAGAAGCTCGAAGTAAATGTGGTATTCAGATTATCGAAACTTTCATGTTCATATACTGATCGTGAAAACTGAATTATCTACTCTAAAACAAGAATAGTAACAATGAAAGGGGGAAAGCCAGAAAATGAGGGAAAACTACACATACTGGAAGAAAAATTAAAAAAAGAATGACTAAAATATACGCTAGTTTTTCCTACGAGGGTCAGACGTCAAGCAAAACTGAATTCACACACCGGCTGGCTGTCACTGCAAGACAGAGTTAACGTCTCTGCTCTTTGTGGTCTTCCGCACGACGGTATAGTAACTAGCTTAATTACAGGCTACAAACAAACAAACAAACAAACAAACAAAGAAGACACCATATCACAGTCCCTTCATCAGTCGTTCATTCTTATTCATCACCATTCCGCTCTTCATCCTTACTCCCCATCTCTCTTCCTCTATGTTCTTCTCATAATCCCTTCTCTCCTCCACTTTGTCCCTCTTTCTTTCTTTCATCCTTCAGACGCGATTTTCGTCAGTCCAGCTGAACACTAAGACAGGACCGTAATCGAAATCCTTACCATTCACGAACATATTCCCAGTTCATTCAAAACTATAGACTAACTTTTACAAATGATCCAGCGTGTTTTAAGCCGAAAGTGAGATTTAACGTTCCCGCCGCAATAGCGGATTAAGTTTCATCTCAAAGCACGTGAAGGCCCAATAGTGTGTACACCCATAAAGATTTTCTTTAAAAAATTCAAACAAATATTTTGTTTGGCAATATACAAAACCCGTAAGTATCCTCTGCGGGAAAATACAGTCACAATGTTAAAAAGGTGGTACATATAATTAACACTGCGCTTTATCGGGGCGGATATGCAGAAACATTTTGCAAGTACACCATCGTTAATCACGTGCGCTAGTTGAGTACTGAACCAGGTCAATGCCGAGGGCGGCTGCGGGAGCGTAGATGTCGGCGACGATGAATTTCGTGTTCACTTTTGTGGAAACATAAGAAGTGAAATATTCGATAGATACATCAACTGAACACAAAATCTGATTTGAGTTTCTGAACTTTACACGTTAAACTTTATGCATAAACCACACCAAAATACTTCAGAAATACACCCAACATGCAAATTAAATTTAAGATTGGTTAGCACTAGTCTACTTTCCAAACACTACAAGAGGCAAACTGTGTCAGTGACTTTGCCAGCTGCTGTTATTTTGTGAAAAGTCCATAAGTCGCAAGCGTCTGAAAACAAAGAGTTCAGGAAAGTATTCGGACCTCAGAAGGAAGACGTGAATGGGGAATTTTGGACTTGACACAAGAAGCATGGTTTTATACAAGTCGCCTAATGTTAGGGCAGTGAAATGTATGGGTTATGATCGGCAAGAAGCGAACACGGAATTTTGTTAGGGAATCTCCTTGGAAGGCGAATACTTGTATAATATTATTTATATCACAGATAACTTTTATTCACAAATCACAAATATATTTAGCATATTTTACAGCGTTGATATTATAAATGCACTAACTTGATATGAGTTTCTCTGTGTATATATTTACAACATATTAAATATTAATAATAATTTAATACATTTTGAAGATGAAATTTCGGACCTTAAATAATCTTCTACCACTATGGCATATAATTAATTAAAACGAAATGTCAATTATGAAGGGACGTGAATTTCCGTGGCTGCAGAAAGAAAAATACTAAAGTTACTATACCTGTAAAAACTTCGCAGTATCATTAGCGATTGTCAACTAACGAGCTAGTACCAGTAGGGGCTCAGTCGACTGATAAGAATTCGTAAGTTTTCGCCAGTTCATTGGACAGAAGAATTCATTTTATAATGTTTGGATATAAACATAATTATAATTATAAGACCTGATCAAAGGTAAACTGTTTTATCGTGTTTTCAGCACCTGGTAACTGTATTAACATAGCTATCAGGCGCTGTATCACTGGCAATCAAATGGGGCGATTATATAAAAAATACGATTAAATGCTATAAAAAGTAGGAACAATTTAAATGACCAGGTCTTAAGAATTACATTTCTTACAAACCTCTAACGCTGTCTTGCGTTGAGGGTTCACAATTATAAACATGAACATCTACTAAGATTAAGTGCGTCATAAATCTGACAGTGTTACATTACAGTATATCGTAAATGTTGCATGCATTAAAGATCGAAACAATTATATAGCGCGATAATTAAGCTATATTAAAATGTATTTAAAAGAGTCTATTGCGTAATTGGAGTAAGTCGGATTACATTCCAAATAGCGCACATTATAAACGAATGACCCACGGTGTAGTTTGAAGAGCGACTTGTCCACTTTGACGGTTGCGAAACTTTGGACAACAGACACATTTTACCTTTATCAAACTTTTGTAATATTTCTGGGGCATTTATTTTGATATTTTGTAATACGTTTCTGGTAGTACTTGTAAATATATATAATCATAATATGCTATTAAGTCTAAAAACAAACAAACAGTTCTTCGTCGGAAACGTTTAAAATGCAGAAAATCTTAGTACGTATAGAAATTTAATTGTATGTATATTACATTAAAATTATATTGATCTTTTTTAAGTGAAGTTCGTGATAAAAATAAAACATCAAAATTTACACACCTCATTCATTTTAAAAAGATGCCTTTTCCTTTCTAATTTATCTTCAGATATGTTCTCTTAAAACAGTGCTACAGTTTACAACGTTTTAGTATGATGTTTGTAGTTGACAGTGGTGGATTAATACATTTATACCGGATAGTTATAACTATTAATGTGTGGGTTTGACTCAACTTGCCCGTTCGCTAATTGCTTTGAAACAGTTCACGTGTCATTACATATCATGACATGACACTCAAGCGTCGATTAAATTCAGCGTTATCATTTACAAATTGTTCCGTCTGAACAAAGTCTGTGACATGGTATGCGATAGTATTACGGGTTTATTAAAATGGCATTTTGTTCTATTGAAATTCAATTATACCATAATAAATTATGTTATAAAATTTCACAACCGACTACACACTTTCGCTCATACTTGACTTGACTTTGAAAACACGTGTTACATATCGCACGATTATTAAAAGTCGGTAATTTTCCATTGATTTCACTCCAACTCTACTTATTTCCAATTGAGGGCGGAACCATATTTAACAAGTCGGAAGTTTGGTCATTTTATTAACAACGCAGGGGTCAGAATGTGCTGAGGAGGTTCCAACTTTCGCTAACAAAAAGCACCTGCTCAACAGGGCAGAGCTGCAACTGACTTCAATCTTTCGTTCGTCATGGATTCAACGTGTAAGTCCAGGGAAAAGATGACTTTATCACCTCTCGGCCTACAATTTAGCAAAGCAGTCAAGTCCACCTTACGTTCATGTCCAAATTCTACAATCATATTTGTATAATTTTTTGAAGAAACCGAGAAACACGATTTGCGATAACTTTCGAAAAATTATTTCTCGCTTCCTGAACTGTTTTACCTCGAGACCGGCAAATTTTGTCATATTTAGTAAATGTTCCTTTTCCTAAATAACTGTGAGGTGCAAAACTCTTCACCTTTTAGAGTAACACACACGGAAAATGTGTTCCACGGCGGAATACACATGATACCTTCCTGTGCCTTTATCAACGTTCATCCAGAGGAATTAAATCCGCCACCAGATCGCACCACCCTCGCCCTTCATTTTATCACTAATGAGTGATCGTGAGGTCGTGTAGAATAGCAAATCCCCCACACAAAATTTAATCCAAATCCGTCCAATGGTTCTCCAGTTGAATCGACTGGACAGACGGACGCACACGACCAGCCCATAATGTGTTTTCCCTATTAATTTATTGCAAATAACGAGTAGTAATGAAAGAATGTGTCGAAATTTATAGAATTAGTCATCAGGATCATAACAATTAGTTCAACTCATCAGATATTTTACAGTTACAGGTTAATTTATTGCATAAAAAATGTTACTTGCTCCACTGTTTCGAAAATCGTCAAGGTTAGTTTCAATATTGCAGTTTCTTTCAGAAATTTGGCAGAGGCCCGCGTACAATGACGAGCTCTGCTGTTAAAAGCGTTGAAACTTGTTAATAAATTACAACGCTCAAGGGCAGTGCGTGCGGAGAGTTTTGAAACGAATGGTCCGGACCAATTTTAAGTCATTTATACGGAGGGACTGATGAATACCACGAAATAACCGTCAAGATAACTGGGAGACCAAGTGAGATTCAAACCGTGTACCTCTCGAATACGTGTACAGAGCGCTGTCGACCACTTTCGACATATATTTTATTTAAATAAATGGATGAATGTGGCGGACATTATTTTTCTGGCTTGTGGCAATATAAAAACGTAATTCACGCCAATGTTTTGATTTCAAGATTAGTGAAAACCCGTTTATACTTTCGGCGTTTCGGTGAACATTGTTATTTGAACGCAAATAATCGGATAAAAAGGTCACACCAAGTCAGCAGTATTGCTGTTTTCATAGAGTTTAATTTTAATTTTAATTTTACGGGATGCCCGGGAGGTATAAATGGACTAAAAGTTAACTACAAACTGACAGGAATTACAGACTGCCGGCTTTAGGAAATTAAAATATCAATTTCCGTTTCGTTACACCTTGATACAAACTTACAAAAACATACATCAAACCACGACTCTCACGCGATCTCAGGAGGTCCCGGGTTTGTTTCTCGGCACCGCGCTGTTGCCGTTTCCCCTCAGTCCTTACAGTGCGTTAAAACATGAAACTACCCCCGCCCTTCCACTCTCTCTCATCAACGACAAATAATCTACGGACCTCAGAAAGACCAAGAAGGTAATAAGGCACAGAAACCAAAACCACTAATGCGAGATTTCAGGTTCGAAGTCTTCTGGGATGTTATGCCACGACGTTTTAGAGGGTAAGTGGAGACGACAGGCAAAGCATCTTCATTGCGACATGGACCACTGATATTTTATGTGATGGGACGAGTTCATACATACAAGGGGAGCAGTACCTCGGAAAAACTGCGTGATACGAAACAGGAAGACAATTCACTGACACGCTGTAATCAGATCTCCAGGTCAGATTCTGCACCATCCATCGTGTTCACTTTCGGACGATGGACTTGAAACTGCCAGTTCTAATTCCGGGACATTGGTCAGTATATCGCTCCGAAACAACCCCCCCCCCCCCCCAAATAACAGTGAGCAATACATTTGAACCAAAATCCTATTAAAATTTGATGCAGTCCTCCAGTCACGTGATGCGTGTAATCCTTTGTTAAAGGATTTGGGCAAGGGGGAGCAATGATAATGCAACATTATACGTAATTTATACGCCATGCTTATCCTGCAGTAGTTCGCAAATCCCCTCTTGTTTGTGTGTACGCAGATAGCGGAGGGATACACTACGCAGCCTAGCAAATAATCCGCCGCCAATGCATACTAATCTCCTTCTGTCCAAGTCAATCTGTTATCAACGTTTGATTGACTCTTTGACACTGTGGCTGGCTTATCACATCTTACAATCATGTACGTTTAATTGATTATGTATCGCAGCGGTTGGCTTGCTCTGCAATCAAGCGATTATTATACGCGTCAGATAATATATTTGGCAGCGTCACGAACGTTTTTGCAGGCAGAATTAGAATAGATCACTGAACTGCCTGAAATGCTAATTTTTTAACATTCTTTGTGGGTCATGTTGATGGTTTGGAATAGAGAAGATAATTGTGGGTGATAAAGTTTCTTGCGAAATGGGTCTTCGGCATCACAGTTCCAAATCGTATGAGTTTATACTAAAAAGAATATTTTAGAAACAGGAAGTAAGTTGAAATGTCAAACTCATTTCAAGTTTCTAGGCCTGTAAAAATTAATAAATAAAACTTCACGTGAGTTTTTTTTTAACTTCTTAAAAATATTGAGTTTGGCTTGGAATTTATTACATTTAATTTTTCTCGCATTTCTAATGTTAAAATTTTTGTAGAAGAATCTACAGATATTCATTTACATTTTTTATGTAAACTCTGCCACGTCTATGTAAAGTCCCATTTACAATTATGGTTATTTTTGTTATTACCAGAAAAACTGTTGTTACGCGTTCAGCTTAAACATTGTTGACAGGGCAGACTTTTGTTGTAACCTGAAAATGTTAACTTTTAACCTTCGGAAAATTTTGTTTCTTATCTGCGTCCTCAATTAAAAGTTAAAATCGCTCCGTCATCAACAAGGACAAAGAGGAAAGACTAAACTGTCACCTCTTCCGTAAACCGATTTTTGTCATCCAAATTGATGACAATGGCGTGCGTTCTCGCGTGGCCAGATTTCAAATTTCTATTATTGCTTCCTGTATTGTTGGGACTAGCAGCTTCAGAAGAGGATTGGCTATGTGATGACTTTGCTGACGCAACATCTGGTTGGCCGTCATCAGCTGCTTCAACATATCTGTTACATTCTTTTTGTTTGCCAACTTCACCGTCACCAATACGTCTGTTCCTTTTCTTGCCGCCGCCGCCACCACTAATATTACTATTTCTCATTTTAACCCTTTTCTTACTATGACTACCATCACCAGATGAACCTTTCTTACAAGTACTTGCCATTTCGAGATCCACTTGTCCGAAACCAGCGTCACCGACACCTTCACTGTCCTTCCCTTTATGACCCCGCAACTGCCGGTCACTCGCAGATGAATCTTCTGAGAGGCTTCTGCCATTCGTCTCCGAACGAGGCCCTCCTACGTCATTCGCAGACTTGCTCAAGCTGGAAACTCCGATTCGAAGCGATGACGGCGATAATATCTCATGAAGGGGAGTTTCAGAGTCGGGACTAGAAACAATTGAACCACATTTTGATTTTGGAGGGCTTCTCGTCTTGTTTGTGGCATCTGATATCACAGTAGCACACACTATCTTGTCAGTGACAACAGCCAACACATTGTTCAGCTTCAAATGATCAGCGGCCATATTGCCACTGGGTGTTTGTTCTTCACGCATTGTGTCATTGTAATTCTTTTTGGCTGCTTCTTGCATTGCAGTGATTTTAGCTGCCAAATGTCTGTTCCCTAGTCTCATGTTCTTCTCTTTCAACTGTCCAAGCTGAGTGTACAGTCGTTGAAACTCCTCCTGGAAACACAAAACATCACAAAAGTCTTAAAACTGTTACATCACTTGCAAAAAATATGGATCAATATGTTAACCCTCGAAAGACCTGTCATCTTCAATTAGATATTCAACCACAGACGTCAGTACCTGCACGTCCATCTCAGTTAGTCTGGCGTATTTGTAGATGAGTTGGTAGAAATGGCACACTGAGAGTTGCCTGACCTGGGCTTTGACAGAAACTTTGCTGCTTGAGGTTTAGGGATGGCACTTGAACTCTCCTCAGATTTGCCATGGCCCTTGAATACCATATAGGCCTGGAAATGATGTTAAATTACATGTAAGGTACAAGAATACTTATTTAATTTAAATATTAATGAGTATTGTAGTGCTTTTGGACACTTATATACTCTAATATAATAGTCGATGCCAGTCGCGATCGACTGCGTGTGTATTGTCCGTGCAACTCAGGTAGGAAGACATACAAATGAGGCTATGGTGGCACCTGCAGTGGGGGTTTGGCAAAATCTGTGAATGGCAAGATTCTTGAGTCTACAGTTGGGTTTTATGTAGGTGCATTTGGTAGGAATCTGGCTTCAGTTGTTATGAAGATGTTTTCAGATTTAATTACTTTATAAAGAAAACTACAAATGTTGTGCTCTCAATGTAATTTGGAAAGGTTCATTCCTTTCAAATTTGACGGATAATATTACGACAGCAAACTCATAATTATCAAACTTCATGCACGTGAAACATTGACCTTGCCCTAAGGGAAGAACGCGAGTGTTGAGCGAAAGAAACGCTGAGAATATAAGCACAAAGAAGGAAGAAATCACAAGACTATGGAGAGAATTGCGTGATGTATAAAACAATACTTTAACGGCTAAATCAACGAGAAAGGAGTAGAAGAACCCTCCTTTAAAAAACTCTTGGGCGACCTTGGCATAGACAGGGATATAATATTTAAACGAATCTAGACAAATAGTCTCCAGTATTAAGGAACACAGAATCTAACAACAGGATTTTGTACTGAATACAAATATTTGTGTCTCTCTTATATAACTGTAGGGGTGGGGTAAGACCGAAGTACCGCATCTTATAATGGTTCTACTACAAGAAATAACCCTGCTATTGTAAGGGCTACTGTACATTGAACGGAAACTAGCGCTTGGCGAATAATATTAAAATTATCTTCACAAAAGAGGCGTGGAAATGAGGGTTGGATTCAACTGGCTCAGGTTACAGTTTGGCGGTGAGCTCTTGTGAACAAGGAGATGAACACTCAGACGCAATAAAGACAGACAATATTTGAGTAACTATGTACTTTTAGGAAGGTCTTGTTACTAAATTAGTTAGTTATAAGTGCACTTTAAATAAGTAATTCATTTAATAAAGAAACATCCTGAACACACCAACGTCCATCATCCGTCTGAACCATTTCAATGTTGTTTTTTTTAAAATTAAAGTTTCTGCGACTCCAGCTGATGACATGACCATGAAACAAGGCACGTGAGTGACATAGTGATGTTTGCAATATTGAGGTATCGATTGGCGAGGCTCCTATGGGAACAGAGAGACAGACGGGACTCGTGCGCGAATAAAGTCGAAACTGTAAATGAGAGAAATCACACGTGCATCCGACTGGACGCCACATCCTTGGTTAATTTCATTCCCACATGCAAGAGTC